CTATTTTTGCATAAATAGTTCCACAAATCATCAGAGTTGATAGAGTCTATATGCATAAGTAAATTCAAACTGTCCTATTGTAATGAAATTACTACTGTCCATTTCATTTCTTAAGTTCAAAAAGAGTTCTGGTACCATTCCTAAAAGTTCCTCTGAGCCCTCAAAATCAGGGCCCGGCTCATTAGTTGCCCTTAAGTCTTTGGATAGCTGTCAGTCATAATGACTCTGAATCAAATGGCTCAAAATATGAGCAGTTCCTTAACCAAAACTTTTTTTCAGTTCAAATAAGCCTCTCTGAAACCTTTGTTCTTGGGGACCTCTGTCTCTTTCAGTTACAGCAGCATTTTATGGTAGTTTTTTTCCATTTTTAGTAGAAAACCACCTTTCCCACAATTCCTTTGTCTATTAGCCTGCTGTTATGAAAAACTACTTTTCCCATAATTCCTTTCAGGTCTGGGAGCCAACTTCTGGCTCCCTTTATTGGTCTTGTTTTCATATTGAAAATCAAGAGCAAAGGAGCTTTTTTTTCTTCACTATGGGAGGTTTCTTGAGTCAAAAGTTTTCTTTTCTCCCAGAGCTGGCCTTAATAAATGTTTCTCTTTCATCTGACCTTGGCCCTGGATCAGGATCGCACCTGCTCATTAGCATGCATTGAGGCAGGCATCCCTGATACCAAAAATCCCTTGGTGCTTGCTCATCCAAGTTACTGGGTCAGTAATTGAAAGTAAAAGCACTTGGACTCAAAGCTTTTTTCAGAAATGTCTTTTCAGAGAGTTTCCCTCCTGGACAGTTCTCCATCCTGTTCTGGCTCAGCTCCCCCACCCCAGAGAGTCCCACAGCTGAGAGACTCAGTTTTACTGATTCTACCATGCCAGCAGTTTCTTGCCCCACTTGGCTCTCTGTGGCTCTCTGCCTGCACTCTCCCAAGTTCTATGGCTAGGTTCTAGCTTCAAGAGGATTTTTGGCTGCTATTTTTCTGCCTTAGAGAGACAGGGCATAGCAGAGGGATTTGTCCAGTTCCAAGAGGTCTTTTTGTTTTTTCTTAGAATGAATCACAGGTGAAGTTCCCATGATGTCATTAACAGGTAAATCTAATTTTGTCCTTACAGAAAGAGAAACTGAGAAAGAAAGTTCAGAAAGGCTTTTGGTTTTTGAGAGAGAGAGAGAGAGAGAGAGAGAGAGAGAGAGAGAGAGAGAGAGAGATATTAAGTTTTTCCCCAGAAAGCTTTCATTTTTTGAGAGAGAAAGACCACTAAATTTTCCCAAAACTTCTGTTCTCTAAACGTTGGCTTTATGGCCAAGAGGGAACTAATTTTGTTGGTACAGTGTTTCCATACAGTGGAGCATCTGCAGAGTGAGGTTTTATTTCACTTGACTTTGCATCAGGGGAACTTATTTTCCGCTGCTTGGGGTTCAAAGCTTCCCACAGGAATCCTCTCCCCATTACGCTTTTCTTTGATAGATATTTCCTCTGATTCTTCCACAGGAGTTTGCGCTCATAGCCCCATAGTTAGGAAATTAAGGACACAGTTCCTCTGTCTAGTTACTTATCTTATCCTGTTTTACACTAAGATTTTTTGCTGCAGGCCACAGGAATATCATCAGAACTCAGCTGGTTATGGCAAAGTCACTACCTGGAGGAATCAGGGAATTCCTCCAGAGGAAGCCAAATCCCAAGGAGTTTTTGATGTTACTTGGCTTGTTATATATCAGCTGTATTCTGTTATGAAAATCATGTGTGCCTTCCTAGCTTTCCCAATTGACTTTTCCCTAAGAAGGGCTAACAGTGTGGACTGATCACTCTCTGGACATACACATTCCAGGTATTTGGAGAACTGCCTTAGGAAAGGCTTTCTCTGGAATCAGATATCTCCCTTGGCTACTTTCAAGGACTAGCAGTAATAACAGTCCACATGCAAGTCTCCTGATTTAAGACAAATTCCGCAAGGAGACACCACCTAGGTCAGGTGGACATTAGTAATAGCTTTACACAATTCAGCTAGGACCCTCCTTTTGTTATAGCCTTACCAACTTTATAGACTGCTAACTCCTTACCTAACCACTTCTAGGAATATTTAGATAACCTTCTGCCCTGACAGCTATGCTCAGCCAGAACTCCAGTTCAAGCCTCCCTGTAATTATCATTAGCAGCATCCAGCCAGGTCCATCCCCAGATGGAGGAAAGTACTTTACCAGAGATACCTCTGTACTCTCTAAGAATAGACTTAAGCATCCGTGCCACCTGTTTGAGAAGGCCTGGTGGATGTGCCAATTAAGCCTTACTTCCTCCTTTCCCAAACCTTACCTCCAGTTCCAGATCTCCCTTTAACTATCACCAGAGGCATCTAGCTGTACACAGGTTGCCTAGCGACTGAACACACTTTCCCCGACCCTGCAGAAAAACGGCAGATAGCTTGGACAGATAGGAGCCACAGGAAAAAAGAAGGCAGTTTTATTTTCTCCCATTGACCTAGCAACTTAAAGATTCTTAACACTTTCTACCAATCACATTTAAGATTATAGTTGAGCACATAAGATCCTTCTTTTTAGATATTACCTGAATTTAGCCTTTAGTTAATTCATTTCCCCATTGGTCACTTCCCTTTGGGGTTGCAAGTGATAATTAATGGTTATTGCCCCTCTATGTGATTCTTATCACCCCTCCATTTGACCCTGGAAGCCTGGTTTTGCACTGCTAAGGGAATACTGCTTGTAAGTGTATATATACCAGGACTCCCAGGGCATGACAGGACAGAGGAGAGAAAAGAGAATGGAAGAACTAGATGGGTAAGAACTTGAGAGGAACAAACTGAGATGGGGAAGAAGTAGATTGAAGGGCTACAAGAGAGTACTAGAGGAACGAGATGAAAGATGAGGAAGAGCCAGATGGGGAAGAACAAGATGAGGTAGAATGAGAAGAGGAGAGAGGAGACGGAAGAGGAGATGATATGAGAAGGAACAAGATGGATGAGAACCTAGAAGGGGCAGAACTAGATGAAGGAATTAAGATAGAACCTAGAGGGGATCGCAGACAAGTGTAGAGAGAAATCAGGCTAAAGATGACTTAAATATGAGAGCAGAATATAAGCTTGTAACTGACACAGAATAATAAAGTATATGGACTAAGGAGTTTCGTGTACATAGATTCATTTCTTTACATCAAAGATTAATTATCAGCTGGTTGTAGACTCTTCCCAGACCCTGGGAGGGGACTATTGAGGGGCTGAACACCCATAGTCCCCGATAATTTTTATTTCTTAAACTATATTCCTAATCCAATATTTCTATATACCACTGTGGTGATGTATTGTGTCCTCCAAAATATTGTGCACCCTAATAAAGTTTATCTGAGGATCAGAGGAAAAAGCCAGCCACTATATTAAATATGGAAGTCAGGTAATGGTAACACATGCCTTTAATACTATCCCTGGGGGAGGGGGGAGGCAGGGGATCTGTCTGGATCTCTGTGAGTTCAAGGCCACACTGGGAACAGAGCCAGGCAATGGTGGCACACACCTTGAATTCAAACATTAGTTAACCATAAAGGTCTGTACAGATAGACAGGAAGTGACAGAGCTGGGCAGGGAGAGGAACAAATGTAGCTGGATGGAGAGAGAAAATAAGATGCAGAACAGGAAGGCATATAGGCATGGATATACAGGAAGCAGGTCTCTTTGGCAGAGGATCTCCAAGTGGTAAGAACGTGGCTAGGTTCTTTCTGCTTTTCTGGTCTCTCAGCTTTTTACCCTAACATCAGGCTCCAGGTTTTTTTTTTTTTTTTTTAATAAGACTGTTTAGCACTTCGTCCTACACACTACCTTACTCTAAATTTCCTCCTGCACTATTTTTCTATATTCTACTTTATATTTTTCCTTAATTTCTATAAATAGAAATTGAGAGAGAGAGAGAGAGAGAGACAGACCTTGATAGAGAGAAATCTATGCTGCAGCTTTCTTTCTTTCTTTTTTTTTTTTAAAGATTTATTTATTTATTATATGTACAGAGGAGGGCACCAGATCTCATTATAGATGGTTGTGAGCCACCATGTGGTTGCTGGGAATTGAACTCAGGACCTCTGGAAGAGCAGTTGGTGCTCTTAACCTCTGAGCCATCTCTCCAGCCCGTATGCTGCAGCTTTCTTAGGACATACTTTCAGTCCCTTTTTCTTCTTTTTCTCCCAAGGATAAAACTTCCTGCCTCATTTATCTTTTTTCACTACAAAACCAGACTGGTCCAACTGCTTTCTGGCAGGAACCAACTCCTGCTTTCACCAAGTACCTTGAATTTTCTGTCCTTTTTGTCTTTGTCTTGTCTTTGTCCCTGTTCACTGGTGCCATCTGTGGGGGGCCCACTTTTCCTCTGGGTACTCTGGAGCAGGAGCAGCAGGGAATATGAGATAGAAATTTAGAATGAGAGAAAAAGATAGAAAACACAGAATAGCCTTGGGAAGGCCTGTGGATCCTAATCCACCAGGCCCTGACTGTCTCTGCCAAAGGGCTTCTAAGGGAATGCCAAGGGGTGGAGCAAAAGACCTCCCCCCAGCACAGCCAAGTGCAGACCATCTCAGACACCTGTACTCAGGCCTGTGGTCCTGATCATCCTCTATGCAGACCTGCTGGGTAAAGCCACCAGGAAAAACAAACGGGCTTTAAAGTTAATTCAGTCACCAGCCATTGCAACTGGCACTGATCAGGAGCTCTTTGCTAGCTACTGTCTTTAATACAGGCCCATAGTAACAACAACAAGAGTAAGCTCTGAAAGCTGAAACTTTCTGTAATTTGCAAGAAACAATTAATCTGACTTGAAGCAATTATGTTCTCAGTTTTATTTATGCTATGTAACTAGTTTTCTATCTTGTTGAAAAAAGAACAGTGTACTTTGTTATCACCCAGACTTGCTGGGAGTGTGAAGTTACGGATGGTTTATGTACTATGCTTTTTTTATGAAACCCTCAAAATTCCAAATTCCAAAAGATTTAACTGTAAAGATTTTAGAAAGATGATTGTGGAACCATACTTTTTATCACATTGGTTCATACACAGAACAACTGTTCCAGATAAACTTAAGCCATTATTTCCAACAAGAGGGAAATAAAACATCCAAGCAGAGGCAAAGGATAATCACCCCGGAGGTTAGTTAATTTGGAAGCCTAGGGCAAAAGCTTGAGAGGGAAGGTAGTGTGTACTGGCCATCCTGGGGTCTCTATGGAGCATATAAGCCTACCAGCCAGGGCAGCGATATATCCAGGAGAGCAGCAGCTGTGTGTTGGCTAGACTGTATTCAGGCACTGGGGATTGAAATGGAAACTTTCAAGAGGAAGGCAAGGGTAGGAAAAGTGAGTATTCAGTCACTGTGACCCAGCCTGAGCTTATTAGTAGAAAGTAGTATTTCAGGATTTGGAACAAAAATCTAGGTCTTTCAGCTTCCCACACAGCTTCATAGTGAGACAGACCACACAATTATTATATATGAAAAAGAAGTAGTAGTTAGTAAATCTGTGAACAAAATTGAGTAGGACTGCATTTCTGTCAGAAACGCTTTACTTTTTATAGAGAAGACTAGAGCTAACATTTAAAGAGATGTTCCAAGAAGATGTAGACAAGAATCCAAGAAACTCAAGAAGGAAGACGCTCACAGAGTGGTTCCTCTTTCAGCTGTTTCAATACCTGGAAAGATATCTATCTAGGGATTAGTTTCACAGCTTGAGGATGCATATACAATGTGGAGAAAGAGTTTTAACTCCACTGGTTCCAATGCCTTGATGAACAGGGGATACATAAATAGATAACAAGTATCATTTAAAAATATCTACCGTAATGTATATGAAAACTTCTATGGAAAATTTCAGCATCCTTCTTATGTAACAACATTACTATTATCTGTAAAAATTCACCACAGAGTTGACTAGCTTAGAACTCTTCCATAACCACTTAGTGATTGGAAATCTATCTACCCTGTAGAGATTCTTGTTAACTCTATATTCTAGACTAGTGTTTGCTCCATGGTGCCCATTAAACAGGCAGAGAAAGAAGTGGAATCATTTCAGGCTTACTTGATAAATAGATCAGAGTAAGACTTAGGTAATGTTTCCGTTTTCCTACCTAGGAGGTGTTCTCCCTAGCAACTCCTCAGAGGCTACTGGCAGGTTGCCAGGACAATCAGTAGAACAACTCTGGTTCTTATCCAGGGTCATCTTTGAATAGATTGAGTATACCTCAGCCCCTTGATCATCTTTCTGAGAAATAATGCATTTTTGGGTTTTCTCTGATTAGCATTCTGTGCTGTGCTGTCCTACCTAACATCTCCTCACTTATTTATATATCTAGAGACAAGAGACTGCCATATAATTCATTTAACGTCTGTATACACATACTAGACAACTCAGTGAATTTTTGACAAATTGAAAATCAAATCAGCCAAAAACAGTTTTTACATTGTTCCCAACCAGTTACAGGTATTAAAAATGCTTTAATGAGTCAGGGTTCTTTTTTTTCTTTTTTTGGTTTTAAACAAAATGAAGTAGGATGTGAGAGAGTGAAAAATATTACCATGTATCATAAAACAGAATGTTGTTTGTGAAACTCTTGACAAAAGTTGAGAGTAATAGGATAAAACTATATTTTTTAATAATGTAGGCTATAAATGAAACCTTTGAAGGCTGTGGTGGTTAATTTTGGTTGTCAAATTGATGGGGTCAGTCTTCAACTAAGGGGCACATCTCTGGGTGGTTGTACAAGTGTTTGCAGAAAGGATGAACTGAATGGAGAAGACACTGAGAAGCAGACACCTCCAAATGGGTGGTGTACAGAGATAGAGAGGTCTGAGGAAAGAGCAGCATTGCTTACTGGCATTGATTGATTGATTGATTGATTGATTTTTGCTGGTGAATAATCTATTACTGCTGCTGTTGTTGTTCTTGCTGCTTTCCTTTGCCTACATCAGACTCTAACCTCTTCAGCTTTCTCATGGAAACCAAACACTAGCAACTTCACTGGCCTCTCCCAAGTCTTCAGCCTTAGGTTGGCATGGCTGAGATATCTGGCTTTTACCGCCCCCCCCCCCTTATACAGTGTGTGCACACACTGTCAGTTTCATTTCTTTGGAACCCTTTCTAATATAAAGGCCATGAATTAGATTGCAGAGTAGGTTAGGCATTAAGTAGACATTTGTTCATTTTGTTTATCTAATTTCTTGTCCTACTTTATTTTGGGCAATAGAACCATTTATAAGCATAGTTCCTTGGACTAAAATCACCATCTGAGGAAGCCACATAAGATACCAGTCTGTCCAGTCAGAGTCCTCCTCTGGATTTTATGTGCACTGTATATCAGAGAGTAGAATCAACCCTTTCCTTCCACCAAAGTGGCTTAGATGATAACACATGAGTTTTAGGCCAAATTTAAGGCTACCCATGGATATATTGGAGAGATTTTGGTAAGAAGGATGACAATCCAAGTCCCAAGTATTATTTCAAAATTTTCTACTTCATTAGCAAAACCTTTTCCTTCCTTCCTTCCTTCCTTCCTTCCTTCCTTCCTTCCTTCCTTCCTTCCTTCCTTCCTTCCTTCCT